CATCATTGTCACTGACAACTGGACAGACTCCAGCTTTAAAAAGGCGTTTCACAATGCCAACCAAGGACACATAAAATGTATCCCTCAACATATTCCTTTTCTGATGTTTCACTGCTATTCATATTGGCCAAGTGTTAAACTGCTTTTGTTGACGGAACCTATAACTTAACAATGCACCGGTACTATGTATGGTGTGATTTATTTGAACCATATAAACTAATGTGGCCCTTTCTCTTTGCCCTGACTCTCTTCGCTGGTTACCATAAAGAAGTTAGGATGCTCATGCAAATGAAGCTGCATACAAAAAAACAAAAATTAACAAATTATGGTTATAAAGAAAAAAACCTTTACTTGCAATTTTCCTTTTTAAAAACACTATAAAAGACAGAACAAATTTTCCACACTGTTTAGTAGTATGATAAATTGATTTTATCATGTATTAGTTCAATGAATTTTGAGAAATGAAATGTTAGTCATTTGAAACCTATTTTCATACTAATGCCTTAAAAGGGCAGCTAATGTGAAAAATGGCCCAGTTATTGGATCAATTATGATATTAATAATGATAAAGAAGAATAATATTTATATTTGAATTCACTCATTTAAAGGATAATGACCACAAACTGTATATTGGTCATTTAAGATGCCTATGGACACTTAAAAATTCAGTTCACTCTATTAAATGTATTTTCTTGAATACATAGGAAATAAAAAATAAAGCATGTAAATAATTAAATACAAATGTCTTTGAACATTAGAATGCTCCTGTGTGAAGTCTAATATTTTTATTTGCACTGGCTCAAACCTCATATTTAAAACTAAAGCACAAACAAGCACCACTTATGTGTATGACAAGTATTATTGAAATTTACTTTGCAGTAAACAACTGTTGTGAACCTTGCATCCGAATGTGTGAAAGCATTTCAGTGGTATATGAAATGCTTTCACACATTTGGAACCAGCTCCCACTCTGGGTTCGGGAGGCAGACACTGTCCCAGCATTTAAAGTTAAACATTCCTCTTTGACAAAGCCTTTAGTTAGGGCTGGATCAGGTGAGTCCTGAACCATCCCTTAGTTGTGCTGCTATAGGTTTAGACTGCTGGGGGAACTCCCATCATGCACTGAGCACTTCATCACTTCCCTCTGTCTCTCTGTCTCTCTGCCCCCCCACATATGTTTATTTATTTATTTAATTATTTTAACATGTCATCATGTCAAAGTGTCACTTTGTCCTCCCATAGTCCCTCTGGCTCTTCTCTCTCTCTCGTTTCAGATAACTCTGGCTGCAGGACAAAAACGACTACCATCACCATTGTAGATCACTACATTGTTATTGTTATAGTCAGCCCTGATTCTGATGGTGCCCAATTGTTCCCGGTCTCTCTCTCTCCACCTCATCTCTCTCTTCTCTCCCCCGCTTTCCACCCATCTCTCCTTTCCTCCCCCCTTCCTTCTCTTTCCTCACCCCAACCGGTCGAGGCAGATGACCGCCCACATTGAGCCTGGTTCTGCCAGAGGTTTCTCCCTGTTAATGAGGGAGTTTTTCCTCTCCACAGTCGCCTGTGCTTGCTCATTGTGGGAACTGTTGGGTTTCTCTACGTTAATATTGTTTTAAGGTCTTGACCTTTAAATGTAAAGTGCCTTGAGATAATGTAAATTATGAATTGGCGCTATATAAATAAAATTGAATTGAATTGAACTGAATATAAAAAGTGTTGAGTGTTGTGAATGCATTGTAGATTTTCAGCAGTGTGTATGAAAGCAGAAGGTTTTTGGGTATTGTGACGGCCTAGCTAGTGTTTTGAAGCACATTTTATTTAAGTGTTAGTTTGAAGGATGTATCTGAAATTGACATTTTTCATTGTCAGCTTGTTCATATAACATTGCCTACATTAGGCAACACTTCCCCTAGAACAAGAGCTATATAGCAACAAAAGGGTAATTTCCTCCTCCGCTCTGGCTTCACATGTCGTATATTTGTGCTGAATTTTGCACATTCAGCATAAGAAGTCAGTTTCGTCTGAGCAGATGTTTTTGCAGCTGGATCACAAAATAGCTGGAGTGCCGATGGCTAACAATGCTGGCACAAATCACTTTGCTTATTTGCAGTTGAGAGCAAGTATTTAAATCAATGTTGTGTATTGTACATGTGTATATGCGTAATGCTTATTTCTGGTCAAGCACTCAAGCCTCATCACTCATCAAACAATGCATTAAATGGCCTCTGGTCCGGTACCATTCCCATATGCCTACATAATGTCTTTCCTATGCACTAAATAATGCCCAGTAACTAATGAGATGAGGGATGTACCAATACCTCCTAGATTAGTGCTGCGAATAACAATTATGCTACTAGTTTCTTTACAGATTAATCTGCGAAATGTTTTCTTGATTAACAGATCAAGTAAATGTCAGAACATAAGTAAAACAATACCTCAAAACAACTAAGTGCTAAAGGCTATATTAAATTGCTTGCCTGTCCATGCAACACTTGAAAACCTAAACAGATTAAGTTCACCATGACGTCAGATGGAAGAAACAAACCGCATCAAACATCTTTTTGTTTTTCTTAAAACAAATCAAACTAATTTGGTTTATTTTTGCACATCAACAGTAACAGTTAGAAAAATTAACCCAATTAGCAAAATACACTTCAAGTAGCTCTCAATCCTTCTTTTCAATAAACAGCCAGTTATTTTAGAAATGATATGAATACCCTCACAACTGAGGCGTGAACAAGATCAATATCTGAAATCAAAAAGGTGGATGATGATTACAAACTCCTCTGAGAAGAATAATAATGAGACAAGCTAATTAGGTTATGGTTGTTATGGCACTGACACACTGATACTAATACACTGGAAAGTTAGGAGTTTTGACGATGGAAGTTGAATGAGCAGTTATCACTGCGTTAAAACCTGCTACCTGCCTCAATTGGCCCTTATAGTTTATTAGAGTCCCTTTCAATGGCCGACGCTGCCTGGTCGTAAAGTGAATTGCTGAATCTCTGTAAACTTTTGATAAGGCCTATTACACAGATGGATAGCCATTTTCACTGGGAAAATACAGACAAGCCCAACTTTGATGTGTTTCCTCTCAAGTGTCCAACAACAGCAAGCCCCTGTTCTAAACACTCATCTGATGGTGTCTTTGTCTCTGACAGAAAGGTGGGTAGGTAGACAGTGGTGGTTGATACTGCTGCACACTACTTTTGTATTGGGGAAACTGATCTTTCCAAGGAAACAGTAATTAACTGGCACTAGAATCTGCATGCAGCTCTCATGCAGACAGTCCATCAGCCAACCAGAAGAAAACCCAGGTAGCTTACACGGAAAAAAATTGTACAACCACTGCGTGTGCGTGCTGTTCATCATCATTTATCCCTCAATGCAAGTTCACTTCCTGTCCCCCCTATATTTTGTGTTGCAATTATGAACTGTCATTCTGCACAAATATAAATTATACGCATTCGCCAGGGTCAAGAACATAACTTCTGAACAAAGTGGTGAGCTAACATTTTGCACCTCTTACACTGGGTTAATGCAAGTTGTATAAATAAAACACTAACTGAATTAGCCTCATAAAGAAAATAAATGTATGTATTTACAAACAAAAACTGAAAATATTCAGTGTCATGAGTCCTACTGCATAACTAGCTAATGCTACAGAAAAATCAAGTACATAGACAGCCCCATTAAACAGCTGACGTACCGTTTACTTTCCCTTTTAACATCATTTAAGAAGCTGCAACCATAAAATCAATTAAACAGCCACTGACTCATACACGGCCTCAAACAGAAGGAAATCTATAGTAACTATGAGGAACTTAAATCTCTGGGTGTTTCCACAGGAACTGCAATGTTGAAAAGGCAGCTATCTAATCATAGCACTAATGCTATATTATGCGTAACTGATGTTGAACAGTTGAGTCATGGTTGATATTTTTGCTAATAAGCATAATCTCCTTAGCCTCTTGATTATTAAAATATAATGAATTTTCCTCAAAATTGCAACGACATTTAATCTCTTGGGAAATTTGAAGGGAAATTTAGTATTTTTCCTTCACAGCAAATAATTTAGGTGCTAAAAGTTGAAAAGCCTCACAGACACGGCTTTTCAATATATCCCTCAACTTAACATTTTTCCTGACAATAATGTGACACAGGAATTGCTGTCAGACTAGTGAGCAGACTAGAAATGCTGTATGAGACAACCTGCTTTACAAATGAACAGCTGACACACCGCTAAACAAAAAGTGAAGACAGAGGCAGAAACATATCCAGATACATCCAAGACCAAACTCAAGGAGCCGATCTATATTTGAGTCGAGGGACTCTTAGAGCGAGCGCTCCGGAGGCAGAACATACGATGCCATCTTCAGGCAGAGGCGTGATCAAGGGTTGTTATCTTAACATGTACAACTGAAGTCCCCTATTCCCCAACAATTAATACTGCACCAACATTAATGTCTCTTCTGTGGGGGTCTCTAAGAAGCAGATAATTTACAATGCTGACCATCAGTAAATCCCTATTAATAAATCACTGAGCAGAATTTAGTCCTTTTGTGCGTGCAGTGACTGACGTTAACCCAAGCATAATCGTGCATTATCAAGAGGGATAAATTTAGTATCCTCTTCAGGCAAATTTCTTCAGCTATTAAACATTAATAGTACCTCGTTATGAAGTGTAAAGCCAATGTCTGGAGCAATAGAATTGTGCAGTTATATCCTTAGTAATATAATAACCATCAATGTAGTTAATGGACCTGTGCCAATGTGCAATATATGAATTGCGATTGTCCATTGAATCCTGCTTTCTAAATACAATTACCACTCTATTCAATACAGTGATGGTTTTGCTGGTCCAAAAATCTCTGCTGATGACATTGCAATCAAACACAAACAACTCAAGCACTCACTAAATCTGATTAGAACCAGCTTTGTTGAGAGTGAGAGAGCAAGGAGGAAAAAAAAGAAAGAGAGTTTTCTAAATTATTCACCTTTTTCTCCTCTGGCCCGCTTCCATGGGGTGGGATCCACAGTATAATGTCAAAGACAGGGCACGGGCTGTTGCTGAGTGATGGGGATTTGACAGGGGAGACGGGGGTTACCTTGATCTAGGAACAAGGTAATAATTAATAATTGAACAGACATACCTAAAATAACTCTTTACTTAACATCTTTACTTTACAAACAATCATGCACTTATGAAAAACACTCTCCATTATGCTCTCTGCTTGATTTTTTTAAATCACTGGTGTTTTATTCTTTTTTGGTGCCTATCCACCTCCATCAATGCTAAAGTGATGGTTTGGGAAGAAGACTGTCAAGAGTTGAATGAGGTGAAGAAATTGATTTTGTCAGGACAGAAGAAAAAAGCATATTTGGATTCATCGAGCACTGAGCATGCTCAGTTGTTTTTGATTCCGTCACTGGTTCGGCCTTAATGGGATTAGAGGTTTTGAAATGGAGAAGGGAAATAGGAAAAGCATTGAGAGGCAGTCAGAGAAAGAGGAGTAGACAGATAGATGGCATGTGGGTGAGACAAGAGGTTGACTGGGTGGGTTGAGGGTTAAGAGAATGACAGACTGGCTGCCAGGACTGCGACAGATGCAGTAAACAGATGACTCAGTACAGGGCTGCCAGGAAATACTGTAATGAGATACATTTGATCAGGAGTCCATCTGAGATTCAGGATGGTCATTCAGGCAGACAGGTAAGTTGAAGTGCGGCTTATGCAGCTCAGACAGAAATACTAGAAAAATGGAAAGTGAAGAAGCAAATGGATCACTCAGAAAGTAACCCTTCACTTTTTTCATTTTGTTATGTAGCAGCCTGATGGCTTGTGGTAAATTTGATTGATTGAACATGTCTTGGAAAAGCACATGCCTGTTTATATAACACCTATCGGAGTAAAATCTGAGCCATAATGCTGAAGGAGTTTCAGATCTGGGAAAAGGCTACAGAAACATTTCTGCTGCAGTGACAATTCTCAAGACCCCTTCATAATTCTCACATGGCAGAAAGTTGGAACAAGGACTCGTCCAAAAGCCTGTTGCCTGGCCATCCAAATCTTGCCATCCTGTCTGGGATTGCTTGTCCTCCTGGAAATTTCTCTCATCTCCAAACAGGATCACTAGAGCTCAGCCAGAGTGACCATCAGGTTCTTGGTCACCTCTAAGGCCTTTCTCCCCGACTTCTTTTTTGTATTTTCTTATGTCGCTTTCACAATTTGTCATGATGCCTTTCATATTTTATGCAAAGCACTTTGAATTGCCTTGTTGCTGAAATGTGCGACACAAATAAACTTGCCTTGTCTTGGTTGAAGCTATGCTATGCATCACCAGCTGTGAGAATTTACCACAGTTGGACATCTCATTATTCTCACTGCCCTTGACTTTTAATGTCTCGTGCACAACACCAGGATTAAAAACACCTTGCTTGCATTGGTTCTACAAAAGTCGCCCAGCAATTTCGTCACTTTAAGTACTGATGCAACCAGAGCCAAAACAATGATTTGCCCAGGCTAATATAATTGTTGGATGCTGGGTTATCAGAGAAATATTGCTATTAGCATAACTGTTTCTAGTCCATTAGCTACATCTATATAAAACGAATGCGTGTGATACAACAGCACGGCAATACTTTTTGTTGAAACTATTTTAGCTGCTGCTGAAATGTTTTGTTACAAAAAGATGTTTCTAATATTAAGTCAAGACAAAATATTAGAAGTAAAATTCATCAGCATCCTAAACTAATGCCCCCAAACTATCCCTGACATTGAATTAACAAAAACTGATGATAATCTTTATGAAAGTAGGATTTACCTTTAGTTTGTAATATGGCAAAAAGGTCTACAGTAAAATGTCTCCCTCAATACATATTTATACCATAAATCTAATCATATTTTTTATTATTGCATCTACTGTTTAACATTTTATTATTATAGGTTACACTCCATTTCCAAGTGTTTCCAGAGGACACATGCAGCTGCCAATCCCCCATCAATTAATTGCACCTCCAGCCCAATGATGCAGACTAGGGCAAGTGTGTCTCCTGAGCAATGTTTATTTTCAACACTTCCCCATTAATATGACATGCATCTGCATAGTTTGAAGTCTATAGTGCTGACTTTTCACTTGTGCTAATGGTGTTAATTGCCCAGGCATGTTGTTAGTAGGATTTTGTTGACAAGAGCACCATTGTAATTTCTCATTAAAATCACCACCCCTTCTCTATTTTGAGCCTCAACTGTACAGCTCCTAGTGAGAGTTCATATGTGCTACCGTCTGTCATTGTTCCCATCAACATTTAGGCCAAAACACAATCACTGTTGTCCCACGACATGTGTAACTGGCCCCACAAGACAGAACCTCAGGCCACCTTGCGGTCGGCTCCCATCAGTCCAGGCAGAGGTCCAAAAACACAGGCTAGACTCAATGAAGCTCACAGGCTCCCTGTTGTCATGGAACAGCCGCTCAGCTCATCTCATAATTATTCTGTTGGCCCTGTTAAGAAGCCAGAGACTCTCTGCTTGGCCCATTACTCACACACTTCCCAAGATACCACATATAAGCTCCCCAGGCTGCGCCATCACACAACTATGACTGTGTAGGTAGATGCACACATGTATACAAACTGAGTGGGCTCCAGGTGCATTTCATTGTCAAGCTTTCTCTAGTTTTGACACACAGGTAGTGACTAAGATGCTTTTCTCACAACAAAAACAGTGCATGGCTTGTGACTGATTAAAAGGATAAAATGTTTGCTTAAAAAGATAAATGCCAAAGCTGAAATGGCTGCTATTTTTACTGCCATTACCAGACGAGTACAGTCACTATTCTATGATTTACCTTTCTTCCCCATTTATTTATAATGCTATAGAAATGGGTGTTCAAGAAATAGTGACTGATAGGTATAAATAGCTGTTACATGTTTGTAGCAGTGTTGAAAACACACTGACAGATAGGGGGGTGCAAGTCTCTGTGATCAAGTATCAGATAAAAATAACACTGGCATGGGTCTAGATGATGACTTTATCCCTAATCTAGTTCTGACATACAGTTTTCCACAAGTGCCAGCTGTCAGTTGGATGGTCGGGCATTTAAACTTTTCCAACCAACTACTTTCTTACCATTAAAAGTCACATCACTGTCACTTTTTATAACCATAACCTTTTAGTCATTGGATGTCTGGATCGTAAATTATCAGAGAAACAAGCTGAGCATACAGCCTCCCTTGATGTCCTCTGTCTGCCCAAGAGTGTCAAAGAAACACAGATTTTTATATTCTGTGCTTATAATGACCTGGTTAATATATTTTGGAGAGGAGGAGACTTTTGCAATTAATTTAGCCCCTGGTAAAAACTTCCTGAACCATGAACACAGCAGGGATCCTAACTTAAAAACAAGCCGAGCTAATGTTAGAAGGAGCTTGAAAACAGCCCGTATTCCCTCCTGACCATAGACTGTTTGTAAAGATAAACAATGAATCTCCACTTCGTCCACTATCTCGAAATGAAGCAGAAATATACACCAGATACCAAAGCCGCCATCTTATGCATTTACAGTTACGATAGGGGAATGGAGCCACGAACACACACACCTGAATACTGAAGGAATCCCAACCTAAAAGTAAAACAGAAATGAGTTCTTCTCAGGGTCACCCTCACAAGTCCTCCCTCCAGCTGGGTACTACTATCGGACAGCTGGACATCGCATGTGCTGGTGGAAAACCTAACACACGATGACCAGATAAAAACCAATCAGTCATATGAACACTGAAAAGCCACATCTGGGTGACAAGAAAATGTTAAAAATTCAGGGCATGAAGCTACATGATGGCAACATTTTACAATCTGCTGCATGTCACAGTAGCAATTATAATCCTATCCCAATATGACAATGGCATTGGGTTTAATTAGGTTATTTGCGCAGTGATTAAAGGTTACATACACCCCCTCAAATGAAAGACAGACTTAGGATAAAGTATATCTCATCATGTGGTCCAATGCAGATTTATTTGATTAGATAAGACTGTAAGGTCAGTCAGCCCATATGTTGCTTTTGAGAAAACTGGAGGCCTGCACTGAATACATAAGTCGTCAGAAGCTGTCGAGTGGAATATGTCAGTCCTGTTCTGTATCTTTTCAAACAGACGGAACAATACAGACAAATTAATAAATCCATACTTAAAATGGGACCAATATTGTACAGGTCACACTCATTCACAGCCTTTAAGAGATGCAAAGGGCTTCACATTATGTTTTTTGTGATCAATAATAGGACTGCTGTTGTTAACCCCTAGTTATCTCCCAACGAAGAAAATAGTGTCTGAGATCGGCTCAGGAATGGTGCTGGACCACACAGTAACAGGCTTCACTTTAAAAAAGGCACAACAAACCCTGAGACTACCTCAATTTTAACTATATTTACATTATGTATATACATGTATGTTAAAAGTTTGGATTCTGCTCATTCCAATTCAAAATAAAGAGAAAATTAGAAGGTTATGCATTTTATCACTTTAAAGAAACTCTGTGAAGCATCCTGCCAGTGGAGACACCACTAAATTAGATATGGTATATGATCAACAATTTAATTTGCCTAATGAACATGCTGTGCTGAAAACAGCCAGATATGGACATCTGAGTCTTGAGGGGGAAAAAAATCAATTTTACAAATTACAATTCAATGGCCTTGCCCACAGAACATTTTAGTAACTTGAAAGAAAAAAGAAAACAGGAGCATCTTGTCAGGTCAAGTTCACAGTAAGGAAATTGTAAATGTTACTGAGGCTCAAGAGGATTTCAAGAGAAGTGACTGCACAGAATCACACACTTCTTCAAACAACAACTCCATCTAGTGGTCAATGCAGGTAAAATTAAAAACAGTCCACTTGTGACATTTTGGCTTTGTGAAGTGATTCTAAATTGCGGTCCTGGCCTCTTTGGGACCTTAACAGAGAGGAGATTTGATTTGAGTAACCTAACACATCAATGCTGCAAAACGCTCTTTGTGGAACAAAAACTAGGAATGGGAAGTTCAACTAAACTGAATTTTCCTTTAAAGCAGAATGAATAAACCTTGGATCAGAACAAGACCGAGGGAATGTTTGACCGCTACATTAAAATATGTTTTACACTGAAACACTGAATCTTTTCTACATCTGCATCTAACTGTTCTTAGTGTAGGATCAAGATCAGTGTCTAGTTGTCAACTGTATCCTGGAAACCTTTTGGTTGTGATCAAGTAATCTGCATTGACTCAACCTTTAGTATGAACTGCAAAATGATTTGATTTCAGAACATGTTAGATTCTGGGCGCACCTGGACAGATGACATCATTTGTGTTGTCTTTGTTTTTGTGGTGAAAATGTTCAGAATACATCTCCTACAGCAAACATGCATTAAAATGAACTGGCTGTCTCAGCCGAACTACATTCTGCTCCTCTATATCGGAGCTTTGTTCTGAGGTGTGGCAGCCTTTTATTTTCTATGTGAGATATTTACCTGTGCCTTTTATTTCATGAAAATGGATTACAGAAGTAAACTACTCTGTAAACTAGTGTGTTTATGTTCTGTTTTCTTATTCTGCTGGTGTATCGGTGTCATCTTTGCTACATCTTTAAAAACCAATAAAAAAAGAACCACCTGTATTAAGACACACAGAAACTGTAGCATGTGCTAAAGTCTAGTCTTGGAGGCTTATAGAGAACATACAACACATTGCTCTTCAAAAATTGTAATTTAAATGCTCCTTTTAAATAATTACCATTGCTGCTAACGGCTAATTGAAACATTTTCATGCGTTTTTTTAGAGTCAGACAGCATCGTTTTGAAAATGTCATGAGTTGAGCTGAACACACAAACCTGAGAAACGAGGCTAGATGCTACATCACCTGCTCTGTGTTAGCTCACATTAACAGATGCTAGCCATCACTAAGATTAAAGCTAATCTTTGCTACACTAAGTTTAATATCGATGGTGTTAGAAAGAAAGCTCACCTTTGTTCTGAAGACTTTTCCAGATTCAAACTCAAACCAAGGTCAAACATTTCAATACCTGTTCCTCATGTTTCTACCACAGGTGTGTCGAGTGACCTGGAACCAAGATGGCGGACGGAAGAGAAGTTTTTGATGAAGCTAATTCCACAGCCTGAGTGATGCTGCGTTCTGGAGAGACAGAGAGAATTGGAATTCACAGACTTCGTACTTTAAAAAGTTCCGACTTGTGAACTCAGGGAAAATGAATCTACCCCGACTTCATGGAGAAGCAGATGTCACACAGTAATTGTGGTTCTCATAGACACATAGATACTGTAGCGCTGAGGCCCGTGTCTTCCCACTGTTTGACTCTGGTTTCCTTGTTTGTGTGATTGAGTCACAAGGCAATCGAATTGAAAACACAACACAAGCGTAAGAGGTTTGATTTTATTTAGTCCACTTTTAAAATTTACATTCTCTGTTGAGATTCATTAAAAAAGATAAAGCGTCATCAGCTTTGCAGTCGGCGTCACAAAGAGACTGCTGTAAGGAAAGAGTGAAGTAGAATGAAGACGACTTAGTAGGCACATTTCTCAAATGATATATGTTAATCTAACTGATGGCAAAATATGTACAGCGATGATTTTATCTTGTGGCAGCACATGCTCGGGACTTCGGACTGAGAGTTCACAGGTTAGTAAAGTACAGATCTATGCAGAGAGACTTTTGCACTGTCTATGAAAGATGTATCAAGTTGATGAGGCAGTGGATTTCCCAACACTGTATGCCAGTTCAATTTGAATTAAATTAATCCTAAAAGTAGAGAGAAATGAGGAATATGAACTAATTGACCAACGTATGTCAAACTAAACATTTTAACAGACTAGCAAATGTTCCTCCATATGAATCAACAATACTGAGCTAAACGTGGATATGATGTCCACCTGATGAAATAAATTGAGAAATAAATTAGAAGTGGATAGTTGTATTAGTTTGCATTTATGAAGAGTACCTGATATTTTCTCTCTGTAGCCTAAGTTTGATACCTTTGCATAACTTATAGAAAACCTGTCACGTTCAAAAAACTCACAGTAATTCATTCATTAATCACAAGTCCTGATACCACCGTAGAAAGGCACAGGATTCTACCCTGCAGAATCCACATACGTTCGAGCCAAACACACTGGATATTCCATACAAATAAAGGACACTTTTCCTGTTTATATACATAACACTTTTGTACAGTCTTTGCACTTCCATTTTAACAGATTGGAGCATCTCAACTTACAAAGTAAATGGACATCAAATCATGTTCAGTTGATTAAACCTTGAGTGAATCCAAAGCTTCACTAGAGCACTTGGTTACGTGTAAAATGAACAAGTTCAACTGCCTTTGCATTGATAGAAAAAGGAAAAATTTAGGGATCTGGTTTGAAGTTGCCTCAGACAGTTTCTGCTAAAAAGTAAAACTGAGCTGTGGATGGTGCCCAGGGAAATTTCACCCCGCTCAAACAGGATACACTGATAGTTAAACATTGTTAACTGTGCTAACCAGTAGAATGTTGCATTGTATTATGATCATGTTACCAAGTGATTTATCTTACACTTCAAAACAATAAACAGCATTATAATTTAAGGAAATGTTAACTCTGGTTCAGCGCATCAAAACAAAATAAAAATAATCCAATATAGGAGGCAGTGAATGTTCAAAGTTCATGAGTCTACTTAAGTCAAACCCGGAGGACAAGTCCAGTCGTTCCACCTGCTCTCATACTGCACACAGCTTATTCCTGGCGTGCACCTCTTCCTACAACTGTACACACATGGCTGTTTTTGGCCTAACAGCAATGTAAACTAAAGACAGTTGAGTGGCTATGAAGCTCCACTGGCCCCGACACACAAAGGATCTTGTTGAGGTGGAACGTGACGGCTGGACCGCCCCAAAGCACAGACCAGAGCCAACACGAGAGAAAATGGCCCAGTGGTTTGGGGGTTTGAAGGGTGGCTTGGTGGTTAAGGCGACAGGGTCACTTGGCTCCTTTGACAAGGGTGTCCGTCTCTGTTAATTGGCGGACTTCTTTCCAGGCCTTCTGGGTGCTTTTAAGGGCCTGTGTCCGTTGCTGGTCTACAACCACATAGTCAACACGCTCATCTGATGCTGCCATACCAGTTCCATTGCTTTTCATCTAAACAAAGAAAATCAATACGTTTGTAAAGGTCAGAGTTGAGAATCCTTCTAACCTCTTAATCGTGAAAGTGTGGCTCAAGGTGCAATCCTTCTTACCTTTCGAGGTGGGGTGGACTTGCCAGGGTCAAGATCCAAATCCAGGTACTCCACCTGTTTGTCTCCTTTTGGCTTCACCATGGGGCTGCTACCACCATCCGCTGTCATGGGCGGAACAAGCTTCATGTTCTACATAGGCCAGAGAATGAGGTTTTTATTGAGAGAACAGAAACACTCAGGCAGTGTCTGAGTAAAACAGAGTGCATATTCAAATAAAGTCCTGTGTTGTCACAATAACCAAAATATCTTTGAGATCTGATATTTGAATTAACGTTAATTTAGGGTTTGCATTCAGTGACAGATTGTTTGTGGATTTGAACATTTTCAGAATGACAGAGAGAGGGCTGAAAGATTAAGTTGACTATACAGTCCTCAACACAATCACTGTTCATGTAAAGTGGTTGTTAAATCAAGTCGTACATTGTGGAAGTATTTAGATGAAGTTGATCATTTATAAGAACGTATTTGTTAAATTAGTGAACTTATTTTCATGAAGCTGGTTCCGTGTCTGACAAGTACCAAACCGGTAAAGTTTGGCCACTGATGGATTCAACATTTCTCAAATACAGCCAACAATAATTGTCTGTCAAATCAAACAGCACGCCAAAACTTCATTCACTTCAAAGCTGCGCAATGTAAAGGAAATGACTTGTCAAAATGTTTTTTAAATGTTTACTTTTGTATTATTTAAAGGGATGGTTCTTTGTTAGATTTGTTATTTGCACAATTTATGGAACATTTCATATTTTCACGATACAACAAAGTAGTGTTTCAGTGACACTTTATATTTACAGTTTTTTTTGTCTTTATATCTCTGCATCAAATTTAATGTAAGAATAAAGACATTTAGTAGAACAGGTCAAAGTTCTAGTATTGTGACAACACACTTGACAACACATGTTGGACCTATAGGCAGTGTTAATTTTATACTACAAGTGGTGTGGAGTTATTAGAGCTAGGATAATGACAGAACTAGAATAGATCAAATGTAAGATGTAAATGTAAATGATGGTATATGACGGCTAAAATCACTGCAAACTATTCAAGCCTGTAGCTGCTGAAATTAATAAAGCAAGGTCTGTTCCTTCTACTTCCTTAATTTCTCATCTACTAGCACCTGAAACTGGTGACCTCACGTGTTCTGACAGGGCAGGCCATGCATGTCTAACCTGACAACCCTGCTCACCTCCTCTATGGTGTCAAGTTCCTCCATCTCCCTCTTTACAGGGGTGATGGGGACCGTGCAGTAGAAGGACTCCTCTCTACACACAGTAAGAAGGAAGTAGCCGCAAAGGGGGAAGACAAAAAAAAGAGAACAGAGGATGGTCAAGAACAAAATGCAGGAAAAAAGAAAATGGATGAAGCCAGAGCCTGATGAGGTCAGAGAAATGAGGAACAAGGGAGAAAGAAATGAGCATGAGTGAAGAAAGAAAAGGAAATTAGCAGAACATATTTAAGCAAATGTAAGGAAAAATGTAAAATTGTTAGAGCAAGAAAAATAGGAAAACACTACATCTAATACCCAAACTGTAAGAGAAAGAATCCCCTGTTGACAGAGCGAGTCGCCAGTATTATTCTTTAGAATTTAAAATGCTGTAGTAGTCAAATACTGACTGACTACATCCATCCCCCAAAATAACTAAACAGGGTCTTTTGACTAACAGTAAGGGTACTGATTTAACCAAAACAAGCATTCTTTAAAAAACCTGAAAAGCAAAAGAATATAAAATAAGAGGATAAGGAAAACTGAGCAGCAGGAGAAGAAGAAGAAGCTGCAAAGAAAGAGAGTTAAATTGTCGAGGAGTCCATCTGCAGCAACCAGTAATTAGTCCAGGTTAATGTATGGCTCAGGGAGAGGAGCAAGGACCGGAAATTAAGATTTCTATGTTCAACCCTGAGAACATGTATCTACCTCAGACCAAGTCTTAAATATATTTGTGGTGCATCTGTATATTTAATGTAATTAGGGACAACTGCAAAAAAACCTGACATCACAATAAAAGCAAATGAGATATTCACAATTATTTCTGTAGCCTTTTCTGTGATTTGAGAAGAAAAAAGTAACCATGCAACTTCTTATATCAGAGGATAGTTATGTGTTACATACTGGTTCATCTGTGGACATATTAGAGACCATGGCTACATAATTCTCTTCACAGTCCTCGGAGTCAGTGCTGGAGGCCGTGCTATGCACTGACGGGGGTCTCGCTGGCATTGGAAACCTAGAGAAACTGAGCAGCATTCACAATGTTTACACACTGACTTCCAGGCAAATGCAGTCTCTTGTGAGTACAAAACATAATACAAGACATAACAGCCACAGCTATAAACCACTGCAGCTGACAGAGTCCCTGCAGCACTAAGCACAGAAATAGACCTCATCCCAGATAAGCCAACAAACTTAAGTCAGTGTAATGTAGCTCTGAGGCAGATCCCAGGTCTGTTTGTGGGAGCAGTGCTACTTAGGTCACAAAGTGGCTACAGTAATGCATGAAGGGTTAGTGCCTACTTCTTTGGTTAATTGTATCCACTGGAAAAAAAGGCATGTTCACACCAAAAGACATGATCCTAAAGAAAGGGGAACAAATCTACAACTGCATTTTATGCTGGTAACATAAGGAGAAGGTAGGACAACACAGTTTCCATAAAAACATCACCGGCATTAATCAACAGGAGATGAACAGCAGTAATTTATTATTATTGTCTCGCATTTTGTGTTTCTCTAAAAAGTTTTCTACACTTTGAAGAGCTAAACACACAAGATGTTCCACAGCATCCCCACTGGATGTCAAACTAAAAACACAGACAAGGCTTGTGGGAAAGCAGAGAACAGTGTGAACATGCCTTTAGTAGTTAATAAAA